CTACTACTACTACTACTACTACTACTACTACTACTACTACTACTACTACTACTACTACTACTACTACGACTACTACTACTACTACTACTACTACTACTACTACTACTACTACTACTACTGCTACTGCTACTACTACTACTACTATTACTACTACTACTACTACTACTACTACTACTACTACTACTAATCATAAGAAAAATGCTAAAACAAATGAATAAGGATAATAAGAATAAGAATAAGAATAATAATACTAAGAAGAAGAAGAAGAAGAAGAAGCAAGGGTAGCGGCATCTGTACATGATATTCCTCTGAGCTCTGGTCTGCCCCCCCCCCCTTCCTGTCGGCCCCGAGCGCCGCCCCCTCCGTAGAAGAAAAATAAGAAAAGACAACAAAATCGTAAACATAAAGTTTTTGCGCTGCGCGCGGATTTCTTGGATCTGCGCTGGACCCCCCTCCCTGGCGCGCGGAGCGGGCCAGGGGCGACGCTGGAGGCGTCGCCAAGGGGCCCCAGCGCCGATCCGAGAAAACCGCGCGGACCTCAGAGTTATTGTGTTTCTGTCATTGTTCGTTCCCCTGGGGCTGCCCCCCCCCCCTTCCCGTCGGCCCCGAGCGCCGCCCCTTCCGACCCGAGCTTCTGCAGGGCAACGACAGGGGGGGACTGGCCCGGGGGGGATGCATCAACCTGGAATCGGCGATACATCGCCGATGGATCGGCAACAGGCCCCCGGTAGCGAGCCCGCACCTTCCTGGGCAGGCTGGGGCCTTCGGGCGCCCATCGGCGATCAGTGAGCGATTGGGGGTCGACGCATTCCCCCCCGTGCCCACCCCCCCCCATCGCTGCCCCCGAGCTTCTGCGAGGCGGGGATCTATCCATGCCGACCGCCGGGGAACCGACGTCCTGGTGCCCCGGCGGGCGGCGGATCTGGAGACGTCTCTCGGCCCCCAGGGGCCCGAGCCTGTCCATGAGCCACCGCCTGCCGAGGCTCCGGTGGCCATGCGTTATGTCGGGCGTGTCCCCCTACAAGGGGGATTTTTCTACGAAAAATAAGACATACCCAAAACATACCCCCCCCCCAAAAAAAAAACATACAAAAAACATACAAAATATACAGGGGATTTTTGACGAAAAATAGAATTTACACCAAAAAATACACCAAAAAAATAAACATACAAAAAAAAACAGACTAGTTTTGGACCATCTTGGGGGTACTTCGTCGAGCATCCCCCCCTGCAGGGGGACAGGCCCGACTCAAAGCCATGCCTCCCTTCCCCCGCCTCGGCGCTCCGGCCTCGCCCCCGGGGGCCTCACGTAGAGGCCTCCTAGATGGGGTCGGAGTAGATGGGGTCGGAGGATCGCGCTGTATCGCCGATACATCGGCGATACATCGCCGATGCATCGGCGATGCATCGGCGACATCGGCGATGCATCGGCGACGCCAGGGTGGAGGAAATCGGGATCCGCATTGAGCCGCATCGCGGCTGCATCGACGATGCGGCGCGATCCTCCGACCCCATCTGCTCGGACACCATTTAGGAGGCCTTGATCACGGCCACGAGGTCTTCGCGCGCAGGCGCCGGGGCCGCCCCGGCCCCGGCGGGCCCGCGGGGGGCGGCCCGCGGAGCGGCGCGCCGCCGTTCATGAGGCGCAGGGCCGCGGCCTCTGCGGGGCGGTCGAGGCCCGCGGCCGGCGGCGTCGAGGTCGGCGGGGCGGGGGAGGAGGAGGAGGAGGAGGAGGAGGAGGAGGAGGAGGAGGAGGAGGAGGAGGAGGAGGCGGAGGAGGAGGAGGCGGAGGAGGAGGAGGAGGAGGAGGAGGAGGCGGAGGAGGAGGAGGGGGAGGAGGAGGAGGGGGCCGACGGGCACACAAATCAAATACACACACAAAGGAACAGGTTCCCCATAGTTCCCCGTATGTTCTGGGTGTCCGTCTTCCCGCCCCTCTTCTCCCCTATGTTCCCGTCTTTTCCGGGGGATCGACGATGATAATTGTGTCTGTGTGTTTCGTTCCCTCCTGAATCAGAGGGAACGAACGAACGGACGAACGAACGAAGCGCGCAGCTCCGCCGGAGCGGGACCCTGGAGGGTCGGCGCGGGGGGGGCGGGGCCCTTGCCCCATGGTGCCGAGGATGATCATAATGAAGCAGTCGCATGCGCAACGAACTGCCCTTCCAATCGGTGCCACGCACAGCTGTCGCAACCAAAGTATGGGGAACGAAGAACGACACAAACAGAACAGCTCGGAGGTCCGCGCGGATTTCTTGGATCTGCGCTGGACCCCCCTCTCTGGCGCGCGGAGCGCGCCAGGGGCGAAGCTGGAGGCGTCGCCAGGGGGCCCCAGCGCCGATCCGAAAAATCCGCGCGGACGTCAGAGTTATCATGTTTCTGTCATTGTTCGTTCCCTAGGGATCGAGGAGGAGGATCGAGGTTCTCGTCGAGGAGGAGGATACCGAAGGAGACCATGCAAAACCAAACCTCATCAACGATGTTGCAATTATCGCCGGCGAGCAACAAGGGGAAATGAGAATGAGAAGGTCTTGTCGGAAGGCTCAGAAGCCCCTGGCCGTCTGAGAAGTTGTCGAAGCTTTCCCCGAATACACAAACAATTTCTCAGGAGGCGCGAGGGCTTCTGAGATGTCCCGCCGCCATCTGAAAAGGCCTTTTCCTTCTCTTGCCCCCCTTCGCTCGCTGCCGAAGTAAACCCTCCCTACAAGTTTCCTCTTCACAAGCTCCTAGAATCTATGCTCTCTGCGAGAAGGGCCCCGTTGGAAGGCAGCCGCCTGAAAATCTTCAGCCGTGCCACGACACCATCCCTGGGACTTCTGCACCGCGGATCAGCATGACTGTTGCAACCTGACTGTCCCAAATCGCGTCGGAACACCATTTCTGCGACGCCAACACCGCGGATAAATGTGACTGTCGGACACGACGACCCTACATCTTTCTAAGACCTCGCTTCTGGGACGTCAACCGTAAGAAACCTTGAACATGCGAAAACGAATGTGCGCGGCACTATAGCAAAAACCGCATGTTGGAAAGGACCCCCCTCCACCCGTGAAACTCGTGCAAACTTGTACGACGAGTGTAGGCGGTGCTGGGGCGAGAGTCATATTTTGGCAACGCCCAGCCTTCCATCCGCGAAACTCTTGCATTGTGCTCGGAGCTACGGCAACAACCACAATCTGATACCCCCCCCCGCCATCCATCCGTGAAGTTCGTGTAATTCGCCGGCCCAACGGGCCAGAGGCGTGCTAAGATCTCCGGTAACTGGTTAACAATTGTATTGTACTAGTTCGCGCGCGCGGGGCGGCCCCTGGGGGTCCCCCGGCGAAAAGTACCCCGCCCGCCGGCTGACCAGGTCCCGCCCGGTTCAACTCAGAGATGGTTTTCCTTCTGGGTGCGGCCTCTCAGGCCGCCCTGAGCGCGCCAAGAGTGCCCCAAGAGGCCCCCAAGACTGCCCAAGAGGCCCCCGAGACGCCCAAAGAGCGCTCGAAGACGCCGAAGATGACCCCAAGACGGCCCAAAAGGCCCCCAAGACAGCCCAAGAGGCCTCCAAGACGCCCCAAGAGCCTTCCAAGAGGCCTCCGAAGAGAGCCCCAAGAGGCCAAAATCGTTGATTTTCATTGGTTTTTTCTATGTTTTTTGTGTTCTGGCTTTTTCGGCTTCCGGACGCTCCAAGACGGCCCAAGAGGCCCCCAAGACCGCTCCAAGACGGCCCACGAGGCTCCCAAGACGGCCCCGGAACGGCCCAGGAGGGCCCCCAAGACGGCCCAAGTGCCGCCCAAGACGGACCAAGAGGCCCCAAGACGGGCCCAAGAGGGGCTCAAGAGGGGAACCGAGAACTGAAAAATCGAGCCCTCCGCCCCAGAAGGCGCCCAGGAGGCCCCAAAAAGGCCCCAAGAGGCCCCCAAGAGGCCCCCAAGACGCCCCAAGAGGCGCCCAAGAGGCCCAAAAGAGGCCCCAAGAGGCCCCAAAACGGCCCCCAAAACTCGGCTAGCCCACAACGGTGCGACAATATGGGCCGGCGGAATGAGCGAAGCGATTAAATAAAAAACAGCGAACGTGCTTAGAGCTATGGCGAAAAGCACATATTGGAAACGGCCCGCCCTCCATCCGTGAAGCTCTTGCAGACTTTGAAAAGGAAGATGCGCGGTGCTAGGGAAGAGCCACATTCTTCGCACCACCCGCCATCCATCCGCGGAACGCTTGCAAGCTATTAGCACGAATGTGCGCGGCGCTAAAGCGAGAACCGCATTTTGGACCCGCCCCGCCCTACACCCGCAAACCTCCTACACACTCGTACAACGAATGTGCGCGGCGCTACGTCGAGAACCACGTTCTGAAAACCACCCGCCATACATGCGTGAAGCTGTGGCACATCCCACCAGCCCTCTGGGCGACAGGGGGGGGTAAGGAGGGTCGACTTCCTCTTCCACAACCCCTTCTCCCCTTCGGGGAGGGGAACCCTTTTCCCCTCCCCTCCCCGAAATTGTTGGGGAGGGACCGCGAGGTGTCGGAGGCTCTTGTTTTCGGCCATCGACAGGGCCAATTGTTGACACCCCTCACGAGGATCGTTGTCCCCGATGGGGGGGGGAATCACAGACCCCCCTTTTTTTTAACCGACAAGCCCCAAGATGGCCCCAAGAGGCCCTCACGCGCCCCCAAGAGGCGCCCAAGAGGCGCCCAAGAGGGCCCAAAGAGCGCCCCAAAAAGCCCCAAAAGGCCCCCAACAAGCACCCGAGAGGCACCCAAGAGGCCCCCGGACGGCCTCAGGGATCCAAGAATGACATTCAAAATTGCTCAAGATAGCCAAAGCTGGCCCAAGATGGCCCCCACAATGCCCCAGAGAGGCCCCAAGACCGCTCCAAGGCGGTTCCAGATGGCCACGGAGCCTCCCCAGGATGCCGCCAAGATGCCCAAACCATTCAACATCGCAGCGACAATCACTGACGTTGGCCGTTTCGCCTGTTTGCTTTCGACGGCCTTCTGGGGCCGCAAGATGGCCCCATGATGGCCCAAGAGGGCCCCAAGAGAGGCCCAAGGGAGCCCCAAAACGACCCCAAGAGCGTGTGACACCCTTCACTAGGATCGTTGCCCCCGAAGGAAGGGGGGAGGGGGGGAATCGCGGACCCCCCCTTTTTCGACCGACCGCCTCCAAGATGGCACCAAGAGGCCCTCCAGCGCTCCCACGAGGCCCCCAAGAAAGATCCAAGAGCGCCCCAAAAGCCCCAAGAGGCCCTCACTACACACCCGACGGGCACCCAGGAGGCCCACGAGCGGCCTCAGAGAGCCCAAGATGACGTCCAAGATGGCTCAATATCGCCCAAGCTCGCTGAAGATGGCTCCCAAGATGCTCCAAGAGGCCCCAAGACCGCTCCAAGACGGCTCGAGACGGCCACGGAAGCCACCCAGCAGGCCGCCTCGCTGTTTGACAACGCGTGTCTCTTCATCTCTCCCCCCGTCAGCTCTCATGGGCATCGTTTCTGGATGGGTTGGTAGGGATTCTTGATTGGTCGCGACTACGGCGACGAATGGCCGGGCGGCGTCCAGGGAATTGCAAACTAACAGCGGCCTAAATCAGCGCAAGGGTACGGAAAGCAAAGAAAAAGAACGAGCAGGAGAGACAAACAGGAGGCGAGCCTCACTGCCGCTCAGAGGAGCGCACGCACCAGGAGGAACTTCTGGGCTCAGAGGAGCGGTAGGGATTCGCGGAGCGTCAAGAATTGCAAGCTTCAAAAACCCACAACCGGTGAGGACAAATCAAGCGAAACGCCCAGCCCGCCCAGCCGACCCGTGTCGGGGTGCGACACGGGGGGGGAATTCATAAAGGAGAGGGAAGGGGGAGGGGGGAGGGGGAGGAGGAGAAGACAGCGGAGGAGGGGGGAGGGGGAGGAAGGGAAGACAGAAGAGGAGGGGGGCTGATCCAAAACATCAGCGCGGACTACCGAAACACCCTGAGACGAATCCCACCAGCTCTTTAGGGTGTGTGTGTGTGTGTGGTTTAAATGGTTTCCTCGTCCAAGCACCCCATTCTTCCCCTCGCTAGAAGGGTTTCCCCAACCCCTAGACCTGGATGGGGGGGGGGGCGGCGTGCAGTTAGAGCGTCAAAGATGGTCTCGGCGAGAACGCCCAAATCACTGATGTTACTAGGGTGTTGGGCCAACCGTGGCCTCCTGGAGGTGGGGGGCGCAAATTGAGTACCCCTCCTGCGTTGATCGATCACCTCGAGGATGGCCACGAGGTGGCCCCCGAGGCTCCCAAGAGTGCCCCAGGAGGACCCCAAGAGGCACCCAGGAGGCCCCAAGAGGCCTCAAAGATGCCCCCCAGATGCCCCCAAGAGGCTTCCAAGAGACCCAAGAGGCCCCAACGGGCTTTCCCGAGGCCCCCAAGACGCCTCAAGAGGTCCCCAAGACGCCCCCAACAGGCCTAACAGAAAACTCTCAAGCGACATCCGAAGACACTTCGAAGCATCCACGAGGCCTCTGACCTTCCTGTTCGCCCTCTCCTCTTCCTCTTCCGCATTCGCCTAATCCTCGTCATCTCTCCTCCCTCCTCCTCCCTCCTCCTCTTCCTCCTTCTCCTCTTCCTCCTCTTCCTCCTCCTCCTCCTCCTCCTCCTCCTCCCCGTCCTCCTCATCATCATTATCACCACCACCACCACCATCATCCTCATCATCATCAGCATCATCATGAGCAACAGCATCATCCGCATCATTATCATCATCCTATTCCTCCTCCTCCTCGTCCTCCTCCTCCTCGTCCTCCTCCTCCTCCCCCTCCTCCTCATCCTCGTCCTCCTCCTCCTCCTCCTCCCCCTCCTCCTCGTCCTCCTCATCCTCATCCTCCTCCTCCTCCTCCCCCTCCTCCTCCTCCTCGTCGTCGTCCTCCTCCTCCTCCTCCTCCTCCTCCTCCTCCTCCTCCTCCTCTGGTTCCTCATGGTGCATCCCCCTCTTGGGGTACGACGGCTTCCCAGCCTTGATTACACTCCGTGCTATCAGGGCAACCTGGGCATCGTTTCTGAATGGGCTGGTGGGGGTACGCGCAGCGTCTAGAACAGAGGACAGCCGACCGACCCTCATGCTGAGCTCCCCGTCCGGGCGAGGCCATGTAGAAAATGCGCCCAGGCAACGAACGAAACAGGGCAGGAGTGCACAGTAAACGCCCAGGACTGCGTCGCAAACGCAAGCTATGGGTGTGGAGGCGTCCCTTGAACGAAGGAGGGGGAGGAGGGGGAGGAGAAGGAGGAGGAGGAGGAGGAGGGGGAGGAGGAGGAGGAGGAGGAGGAGGAGGAGGAGGAGGAGGAGGAGGAGGCGAGGAGGACAAGGAGGAGGAGGAGGAGGAGGGGGAGGAGGAGGAGGAGGACGCCAAGGAGGAGGAGAATGAGGAGGAGGACGTCATGGCGGAGGAGGAGGAGGAGGAAGAGGACGCCGAGGGGGAGGAAGAGGAGGAGGCCGAAGGGGAGAGCGACTGCGGCGGCGCAGACAACGGACAGCGACGGCGCCGACGGCAGCCGACGGCGGCCGGCGTCCCCTGGCGGCGCCTGTCTGCTCTCGCGGAGCGCGGGGCCCCGCGCCAGCAGCTCGCGCCAGCGGGCCCGGAGCGCGGGGAGACCGGCCTTTCTGGCAGAGTGCCCGAGGGGGAGGCTCCTCGTCCTCCTCCTCCACCTCCTCCTCCTCCTCCTCCTGCTCCTCCTCCACCTCCTCATCCACCTCCTCCCTCCTCCTCGTCCTCCTCCTCCTCCTCGTCCTCCTCCTCCTCGTCCTCCCCCTCCTCCTTCTCGTCCGCCTCGTCCTCCGCGTCCTCCTCCTCCTTCTCCTCCTCCTCCTCCTCCTCCTCCTCGTCCTCGTCCCCCTCCTGCTTCTCCTCCTCCTCCTCCTCCTCCTCCTCGTCCTCCTCCTCCGGGGCGTATGCAGGACTGGGTTAAGTGGAACCTGGTTTAGTGATATGTGCTGGGGGACGCCCCCCCTCCTCATTCCACTAACCAGAACTGCCGCCACCCGAAGAAGCACCAGCTGCGGCAGACCCAATTTCGTGATTCTGGTTCATTTGAGCGGGGCCGAATCACCAACGGGGTTCCTGTACCCCGAGGCTGGCATCGGGTCGGGAGGTCGGGTCGGTTGGGGATGTGAGTCGGATTCGATGAAGTGGAGAGTCTGTGGAGCAGGGAGGACGGATGGAGACAGTGTAATTGAGGGCGGATGAGCAGGAAGCTCTGGAGACTCTGCTTGGTCACCTGATGGTGAAACTCATCCCTCGGATCGGGCCGCAACGGCACAGGGTCGGAATCGAATCGGATGGGCCGCGCCAGGCTGTAAAACAGAGGCATGCAGACAGCGTATGCCGACACGAGGGACCAAGGGGGGGGTTAACGCATCATGGCCAGAGGCGCGTGCGCGGACGGGGGGGGCGGCCAGCGGAGCGTGTTGAAAGAAGTAACAGGTACCTGCGAGACAGAACGAGTTCGGACCCAGGTGGATCGCACGAGCGACTCCCCACGGAGGCGGGGCACTGCGAGTCTCCACACGAGGGGAAGCTCGGCGAAATTGGCGGAGGGCGAAGGGGCGTAGGCGGACGAGGAGGGGAAGAGGGGAGGGGGAGACGAACGAACGAGCGAACCGCCACCGCTGCGGACGGGGTCCAGGACTAGCTAGGGGACGAGGTCCGCTGCGGGCAACGTCCAGGAAGAGGGGCGAGGAGGTCGAGGGAAATGAGGGGGAAAATGGAGGGGGGGGAAAAAGGAGAGGGAGATGGAGAGGAATGGGAGGATGGGGTAGGAGAGGGAGGGGATGGAGGAGGGCTGCGATTGGGTCCCCCACGTTCACAAGTCTCGAGGAAGGAGAAGGGAATCCAGGAGTCGGAGGATGACGAGGATGATGACGTCGACGACGACGACAGACAGCGTCTGGAGGCCTCCTTGGCTCCCCGGGTCTCCAAAGTTCCCGGGTCACACAAACACCCGAACACGCTCAGAGACCTTTGCCCTCGCTTGACAGCTGGACTCGTCCAGGGGCGCGCTGTGACAAGCACTGCGAGGCGCACAGTAGCTAAGGACGACGAATGCGATCCTCAGGCGCGAGCAAATAGACCCATTCAAAGGCGAACCCGTATTGATCCTCGGCGAGGACGAGGGCGAGGACGGGGGCGACGACGGCGACAACGACGACGACGACAGCGGCGACGACGATGGAGAGAATCCCCGCCCTGGCGCCGACGGCGATGACTTGGCGGCGCACACGAAGAAGGGGCGCCCCGAGGGTGTGGGGCCCGATGAGAAGGCAGGGGGCTCGTGTCAGACGTGCCCTTGAGGCTACTGAGAAGCCCCGAGGCACTTCTGAGAAGGCCCCTGGCCTCCAAGGATCCAAAAGACTCCCAGGGGTGTGGCTCGCCCAAGGGGCGGTGTGCAGCCCGCACCTTGGGGGGGGCGGGCGGGGACCTCGACGGAGCTCGCCGCCGCGCCCCGAGGAGGCCCGACGAGGACAGCGAGTGGTGCCCCTCGGCAACCCCCCACGAGGCAGAACGCAAACCACGGCCCGACGCAACCGCACCCCGTGCGGTCGCCGAAACGGAGACCCCCCCCTGCCTCGTCGGGGATTTCCTGACCCGCGTCGATCTAGACCCGGGTCAGTCGGGCCTTACAGACTCCTGCAAGATCCTGCAAGATCGTGCACCCAAACCGGGGTCAATGCGAAGGACCCTACAAGATCCTGCAGGATCTTGCACCCAAACCCGGGTCAATGCGCCCCTGGCCCTGCAGGATCCTGCAAGATTCTGGCGCTCTGGCTGATCCCCGTCTGCACTGACCCCCGTCTCAAGGCTCTCGACCTCGTCCGAAGACCGCCTCATCGGGGGCGGCCAAGAAAGGGGCGTCCAAGAGGGGGGGGTGCAAATCATGGCCAGCGGCAGGTGCGCGGCCCAGGGAGGGAGGGGGGGGGGCCAGAGACGTAATGAAACTGGAAGAGGCGCCATGAGATCTGGCAGAATATCGTGGCCCACGCCATGAGATCCCCCCCCTAGTCATCACCCCCCTCTTTGCCGCCCCCGACCCCAGAGACCACCCCCGCCGAATGCGCGCCGCCGCGTGAGCCCGGTGGGGACGACGCCCGCGGCGGCGGCCCCGCCTCGCCGCCCCCGCAGGCGTGGACCTGCCGCTCCAGCGACCGCACCGCCTGCCCGAGCGCGCGGGCCGTCCCTCGGCCCGCCCCCCCCCTGACGAACGAGCAACACGCACCCATACCCATAGGGGGGTCGTTGGGAAGGAGGACTGGCTATGGGTACACCCTGCGAAATGCTTTAGAAATCATGGGTTAAGAAATTCTTAGTCTCAGAATTTTAATAAAAAACCCAGAATGTCTATTCAAATCTTAGGATTTACATTGAAACATTAAGAATAATCGAGACTCTGGCCGAAAACCTAAGTTTTCTTAAGCATCGCATAAGGTGTATGGATGCGGGTTGTCGGACCCTGGGGAACGCTCCCGTTCGAGCGGGGAGCCCCATCCGACAACACGCACCCATAGCCCTCTCCGACCCCATCTATGGGTACTCCAGATTTCGTAATAAAAGGGAGGGGGTCTGGACCCTCCAAGACAAGCCATTTCAGACCTCCCCCGTGGGAGAACCCTCCAAAACATTGGCCCCAGACCCCCCAGGCCCTCCAAGATAGCCTGGAAGAGACCCCCCCGAAATGAGACCCCCCTCCCTTTATTACGAAATCTGGAGTATGGGTGTGGATGCGGGTTGTCGGACCCTGGGGAGCGCTCCCGTTCGAGCGGGGAGCCCCATCCGACAACACGCACCCAGAGCCCTCTCCGACCCCCTCCATGGGTGTGGGTGTGTGTTGTTGGTTCGTCACCCCCAGCCCGCCAATGGCCGACTCTGACGCAGGCCTCAAGAGCCGCGCCGCTCGCGGCGTCAGCCCGAGGGCCACGGCGAGAGGCCCGCTGCGAGGGGCCCGGCATGCCAAGCCCTGTGGATCTGCAGTACATCCCCCATGTGCTGTACGTCGTTTTCTCCTTCCTGTCCCTCTCCGCCGTTGTCCTGGTGTTTGGCTACCTACCAGACCACCCCAACCCAACCCGAAGACCCGAATTTCGGGTTGGGGGGGGTACGGGCTCCATACGTGTATTCTCGATGTTCCACGACCCCCCCCCACTGGAAATCGAGGACAAATTGGGGCCTTCGGGTTGGGTTGGGGTGGTTTGGTGGGTGGTGAGTGTTCGTGGAGGTGATCTGGGAGGAGATTCTCGGGGTGGAGCGTTGATGCCCAAAGAAAGACGGCAGCCGTCGGCACAGCCGATCGTCACGCCGAAGCCCTCGCTGGGGGCACGGAGCGCGCCCCGGGAGCTCGCGAGGCCGGCCCCCGACCAGGACTCCGGGTGACCCCAGAGGTGGTCCTGGCCAAAGGTTTCAACAGCTCTCAGCCATACACCCTGCGAAATGCTTAAGAAATCATGGGTTAAGAAATTCATGGTCTCAGAACTTGAATAAGAACCCAAAATTTCTATCAAAATCTTAAGATTTACATTGAAACGTTAAGAATAATCGAGACTCTGGCCGAAGGTGTACTCTCTGGAGTCCCCAGGGCCCTCTGGGCCGCGCTGTGGGCGATCTGGATAAGTGGAAGGACTCTATATACACCGACGTTCTTCCCGCCCCGCACTGACACTCGCACTGAAGAGCGTATCCTGGTGAATCCTGGATCCTGGCGTACACATCTATCGCCGTTTCCCCGGGAAACTGGGGAAAGAGTACACACCGCACCACCCCGACGTCGTCCCCGACCCCCGGAAAAGTCCTAGCATTGAGAAACAGCCCGCCACTGGTAGTGCACATGCTCCAAATTCCGACCGGAGGCCGTCTGGGCCTCCGGGACACCCTGCGCCACACCCGATGCGTGGCGCAGGACTCTCGAGGAGCGGTCTGACGGCGTCCACGGGCGAGAAGGGCGAGGAGGAGGACGAGGACCAGGACGAGCACGAAAAGGATGACGAGGAGGATGAGCACGACGACGACAACGACGACGAGGAAGAGAGGAGGAGGAAATCGGAGGAGGAGGAGGCTCCCAGAAAAGGGGCTCGAGAAGCAGCTGTCCAGCCCACCTCCGCCCCAATTTGCCGTCCTCGCCCTCCTCCAGGTGGAGAAGGAGACAGGAAGAGGAGGAAGAGGAAGAGGAGGAGGACCAGAAAAAAACTGGAGTGCGTCACCGATGCTGCAATACACCCTCCAGTCAGGAGAGCCCAGGATCGAATCGATAAGTCGGAGCGGCGATCGGATCGGCGGAAATCGGCAGCCGAGTCGGGAAACCTCGAATCGGCGGAAATCGGCAGAACAGTATGGCCTGCACTGAGAAATCGGAGCCCAGATCGGATTCCGAAGCCGAACCGAATCGGAATCGGCACCCATCGAGCTCGAATCGAATCGAAACCGGAGGAATCAAAACCAGCCCTGTCCCTTTTTCACAAACAACATGCACATAAACCTGCCCTCTCGCCACTCGGGAGCGGCCAAGAGGGGGGTGTCCAAGAGGGGGGGGCGCAAATCATGACCGGCGGCATGTGCGCGGCCCAGCGGGGGGGCCAGGGACGCAATGAAATAAGACGAGGCGCCATGAGATCTGAGAAAATATCATGGCCCCCGCCATGAGATCCACCCCCCCCTAGTCATCACCCCCCTCTTTTCCGCCCCCGAGCCACGGAAGGCGCGCTCCCTTTGAGAGACGGGCCAAACCCCGTGGGTCTGCCACGCAGGCGAGAGGGAGCCCCGTGCGGAAGAGGAGCCGCCCCCGGATCCGTGTGACGGATGTGCGGATGCACACTCGGGGCGTTGGCCTAAGGAGCCTTAAGGAGCCCCAAATGAGGAGGAGGAGGAAGAGGAGGAGGAGGAAAAGGAGGAGGAGGAGGAGGAGGAGGAGGAGGGGGAGGGGGAGGAGGAGGAGGAGGAGGAGGAGGAGGAGGAGGAGGAGGAGGAGGAGGAGGAGGAGGCCTCCTCTGTGTCCCGACGTTCGCTTTCGATGTCTCGTCGAAGACATCAGGGAAGCCTCAGGCACACAGCGACGCAACGAAGGAGCACCGAGCCCCTCCCAAACGAAGGGGGTTCCTTCTTCAGCGCCCCGACTGTAACGCTTGTGCAAGTGTGCACAGATAGCCACGCAACTTGAACAACTCTGTCTCCCTTTCTCTTTCTCTTTCTCTCTCTCTCTCTGTCTCTGTCTTTGTCTCTGTCTCTGTCTCTGTCTCTCTCTCTCTCTCTCTCTCGCTCTTTCTCTCTCTCTCTCTCTCTTTCTCTGTCTCTCTTTCCCTTTCCCTAGAACAAAAACCACACACATTCTGAAGAGAACCGCCATCCTCGTTCCGCGCAGCTGCTACCTATATCAAGCGTCTGATTCTACATTCGAGGATAACTCCAGCGAGCGCCAGATCTTGAACAGAGACCGTTCACCACCCTTGAATGTTTGCAATGTTCTGCCAATCACAAAAAAACGCCCACCATCCTCGTAACCTGTCACAGGCATTTGGAACACATGTGCGCAACGCTGAAGCGAGAGCACCGGTTTGAACAGGAGCCGCCCTCGATCCTCGCTGCTGTTGCAGGTCTTTGAAACGACCTTGCGCGGCGCTGAGGCAAGAGACCTATTTTGAAAAGGAACCGCCCTGCCTCACCGCAGCTGTTCAAAAGCTCCAGGGTCATTTGTCGGCGAGCGAAGAACGGCAAGGTCCCGGCAAGGTCCCGGCAAGGTCGGGCCAGAGATGCCGGAGCCCTGTTACAGGGCCCCAGGACGGGCCAAGAGGTCCCCAAGAAGCCTCCAAGACGGTCCAAGAGGGCCCCGAGACGGCCAAAGATCGCCCGAAGACGCCCAACAGGGCCCCAAGACAGCCCAAGAGGCCTCCAAGACGCCCCAAGGGCCTTCCAAGAGGCCTCCGAAGAGGGCCCCAAGAGGCCAAAATCGTTGATTTTCATTGTTTTTTTCTATGTTTTTTGCGTTCTGGCTTTTTCGGCTTCCGGACGCTCCAAGACGGCCCAAGAGGCCCCCAAGACCGCTCCAAGACGGCCCACGAGGCTCCCAAGACGGCCCTGGAACGGCCCAGGAGGGCCCCCAAAACGGCCCAAGTGCCGCCCAAGACGGACCAAGAGGCCCCAAGACGGGCCCAAGAGGGGCTCAAGAGGGGAACCGAGAACTGAAAAATCGAGCCCTCCGCCCCAGAAGGCGCCCAGGAGGCCCCAAACAGGCCCCAAGAGGCCCCCAAGAGGCCCCCAAGACGCCCCAAGAGGCGGCCAAGAGGCCCAAAAGAGACCCCAAGAGGCCCCAAAACGGCCCCCAAGAGGCCCCAAAACTCGGCTAGCCCACAACGGTGCGACAATATGGGCGGGCGGAATGAGCGAAGCGATTAAATAAACTGTTTCGCTGTCGGGGGCGCCTGTCCCCGGGCGGCTGGAAAGTTTATACCCCTACGGTACCACCGTAGGGGTGTAAACTTTCCAGCCGCCCAGGGACAGGCGCCCCCGTCAGCGAAACTCCTGGCCCGCCCTGCAGACACGTCCGGCGGGGATTCCTGCAGGACGAGCAGAAGCGAGGCCTCGCCGTGCGCAGGCCACGGAGGAAGGACCACAGCGCCGGACCGGCACGGTGGCGTGGCCTCGCGCCGTCGTGCAGCACGGGGATGAGGGCGACCAGGATGGGTGGCGCGACGGATGATGATGATGATGATGATGATGATGATGATGATGATGATGATGATGATGATGATGATGATGATGATGATGATGATGATGATGATGATGACGACGACGACGATGATGATGATGACGATGATGACGATGATGAGGATGAGGATGAGGATGATGCTGATGATGATGGTGATGATGATGCTGATGATGATGATGGTGATGATGATGATGCTGATACTGCTGATGACGATGATGATGCTGATGCTGATGATGCTGATGATGACGATGATGAC